AAAAAACGGCAATTATTGGATAATGATAAGATAGCTTTGAGTAGGAATTAGGATGACGTGATTACGCAAGGGACCTAGTTAGTCAATGGGTAGTTTTTAGATAGTTCAGTCAACTAGTTTTAAGATAGCTAAAATATAGAGCCCAATTTTGTGAGGTAAACAAACAAACAAAAACAAAAAACTGCCGCATCTCCCTCTGCAGTTACCTTTTAAAATCACGTTCAATTGGCTGTGTGCAAGCTTCACCAGTCACTGTAGACACTAAAAATAAAAAGGCTGGTAATTAAAACCACGTTTCTCAACAGCAAAATTGCGTACTGAACCGGCACTAACTTATCCCAACGTTATATTTTAACGTTAATCTTTGACTGTACCGAACCCTTCTGTAGGTCGTTGAAAAGCATGAAAACATCGTCAGAAAAGGTGGTGTAGGTAACTGCACTTCTAAAGGTAATCCGGAAGGCTGCAAGGTTTGAATAATTACTTTATTTTCTCTTACATTTAACTTATGCCTTTGGTGCTTCTCTTACCCAGGGCACCCGGTCACAGTTCGAGGAGTAACCCTGGGTAGGGGTGATTAAAAAACATGGCGGCAGATTCCGGGGAATCTTCGTTTCCTTTCATTTCTCGTCGATCTCCTGTTCTTTCCCTTCGTGGAGCGGTAGTTTCAAGTCAACCACTAGCAACAGACGCAGGATTAAAAATTTTACGAGCTGGTGGAAATGCAGCCGACGCAGCAGTCGCCGTTGCCGCTTGTTTGAATGTGACGGAACCTTGCAGTACCGGGATAGGAGGAGATGCGTTCTGTTTATTTTATGACGCGCAAAAAAAGATTGTCAAAGGAATCAATGGGAGGTATTGATGTTTATAGTAATTCATATTCAGAACTTTCCTATAGACTATTAGACCAGGGGAAGTCAAGATCCAAAAGTTTGTTTCAGATGTGAAGAGTAGGGCAAGTAACTGCCATGCACGCGCAAATCATATGAGCTGTTTCGACTAGGTGCTGTCTATATTCTGTTCGAGTCGTCGCCAAAACAGGCTACGGTTGAAGTTAGCGCTATGGTTGCGTAGATGCTCCCAAAAATATTTGAGAGGGTCAGGTGTCAAACTCGAGAGATGACCAATTGGAAATTTGTTCCTTTTCCGTCAGGCCCACTACCTAATCTGCCCCATTTGACCTACCCCCTGAAAATGTGCTTTTAACATGCGTACGAGAGACACGGGAAAAACAGGGCACTTTCTGGAAGTGATCTGAAGTGTTTGTGTGGTCATCCAATCTTACTTTCATATGTCAAAGGGTGATGATGAAGGAGGCAGATTGTAGCTTGCACATCAATTTCGGTATCAACGAGAAAATCCCCTCCAGTTTTGCTGTATAATGTTACAGTTTTGTTTCCTGAAAATGAGGTACTATTTTAGAGAGAAAAAACAGCAGGAGTTTCCCTTTGAGTCTGCATCCTCCTTTCCTTAACTCTAACAACTCAACCTGCCTCACTTTTATTTATAGTAATTTACATAACCAAATCTGGGCATTTAAAATTCCATTATTTTGCTCAAGTGTTTTTTTTGCTAGGCTACAAAACTGCAGCCAGTTAATACTTTATCATCATGTATGGGATCTAGTCTCTATTATGTATGAGAAAGTAAAGAGGGTGATATTTTTACCATAGTTGATAAATTTTCCTATTTATTCATAATTCTGTCTTTTTGGTGTGTTCCATTTTTTTAAGTGGACGAGCATCATCCAACTTAACATTAGATTGCCTGAAAAGAGCAGGTGTCGTAAAGCCTGGTGATGATCACTTGCCTTACACATCTGCCCACTGTATCACTGTCCCTGGGGCTGCTGCTGCTTGGTGCGATACAGTGGAACAGTTTGGTAGTGGAGAGGTACTTGTAATTGTAATGACCTATTAGGTTTCCCTTTTCACTCAAAAACAAGCCATCAGATTATTAGATTGATTACTTTTAGCATTTTTGATTAGCTGGCACATAGTAATTCAAGAAAAGTTCAAAACTGGTGAACAAGCAGCTGAGAAACACCTTCAGCTAGACTGAAAATTTATCTTTTGTTGTTTCTCGATCATTGAAAAATTATGTATTTAGTATCTCATCATGTCAGGCAAAGACTGGGAAGGTATCAAATTAATTTGAAGAACTGATGCATTTTCCAAAACCTGGCATCCTATGCAGTATCATGAAGACTTGAATTAATTCATAAAGGGGTAAGTTTTTAAAGAAACTGTGGTGCTGCATCAGTGGGAGAGTATAGCAGGTAATTTAGTGTT